GCTCAAGGAAAGACATTTCAGTGCCCCAAGGATCGATCCTCGGACCAATCCTCTACTTGTTCTATGTGCATGATTTTCCGAATCCTGAAGCAAACCCAAATTCATTTCTAGTATGTTACGCGGATGACACCACTGTTGCAGTTAAGTCCGCAAATCCAAAACATGCACAGACTGCAATCGAAAGCAAATATGCGAATATTGAAATCAAACTGTTCAATGAAAAAATGTTCCAAAGGTCAGAACTGTAAAGTGTTTATGAATACTCCTAAATCGAACTCTCATATGGTCTTACCATATTGCTCAAGTAAAATGCAAAGTGAATTCGATCATACGTAGTCTATACCCACTGCTCGGTAAATTCTCAACTTTATGCTTGAAATGCAAGAGGCACATCTATGTTTCAGTGATCAGACCAGTAATCACATATATCTCTCTTATATGAGCAACACTCACCCCTAACCAGATGAAAAAAATACACACGCTTCAAAACAGAGTGTTTCGCATAATCACAGATGCTCACTTTGTGGTGAGCACAGATATCCTATATGCGGACGTTAAAATTCCCCCTATGAAAGACACCATCATCAATGAAAACGTTTTTCAAAAAGCAATGACATGTCATACAGCTAACTATGCAAATACCTTCAACTACGAAATACTAGAATAAGACAGATTAACTGACCCTTTATTACTCACCTTTAAGTGATGACAACTTTATGACCTAATCCTAAGAAATGTGTAAGCATGAAAGGACTCTATATTGTTTCATGTAAATATTGTACATAGTGTACATATTGTATTTATTTTACATATTGTATATAGCTTTTCTTCTTCATTTCATTATTGTATCTACTCAGTTTTGGGTATTTTCTTTAGCAATTGTTTGATTATATTTCAATGTAAAAAACAAGCTGAGAGACTTTCTTGAACGAACGAACGCTAAAATCAAAAGCGAGTTCTCTCAAGGCTTTTTTTTTTTTTTTTTTTTTTTTTTTTTGTCTTGAGACAAGCAAGATCTTCGAATTGGCTTACGCTGTGAAATGATCGCCACCTTGGCTCTTTCTCGAACGAGTCAAGATAAAGGGGAACCAATCAGTAAGCTTTCTTAAGCGGAACTTTAGACTGGTGCACGGACTCACGTAACAAACGGTTACCCTCTCTATCTCTTCTATGTCACCATTCAACCGCACTCGCGGATACACTCACACCATGGACTAAGCAAAATAATGTGCCGTAAAATCAGCAGCGCGAGATGATTCTGCATTAATTCACTACTGGTACTGGTATTGGTTGATGTAACAGCGGGCACCCAATGTTTAGCCATTGAGAATGCAGATGTAAACCAACTTCACTAACTATTTAGACCGGAATATACCGCTCAGCAGTGTCGAAAACACCGCTCACTTCTCAACTTGATAAAAGCGCGCATGACTGTATTTTTACCATTATGTTGTATTTTACGTGTTTATAAGCATAGAAAAAATTTTAGCATCTCTTATCAAAAGAAATGGAAACAATGATTAACAGATAAACTATTTGGTACACCATTTGAAGGCTTTCCGAGAGCTATGATTGGGTGAAAAGGCCTCTTTCTTTTACCATAATTCACACTAAATAAGTATATTCATTGTCACCTGAAAATAATAACTAACCGCTTTTTCTTTAAAAACGTAGTACTACTCTCTCTCTATGTTTTTTTTGCCGAATGCATAATATGAAGAGTTACTTCTTGCAAAAATATAAGCTACTTGAAGGTAACATTACTTGATAACTGCATGCGATTTTAGGTTGTAGTAATATTTATAAACCAACCTCTACTGAAGTGATGTTTCGAATCTTGAAAATCTTAAAGAACAGCCTAGCACAACATATTAGGAGTACTGAATATTTCTTAACATGTATTACATTCTGTCATGCCACCCTGTTGGCATAGTGGCAATGAAGCCAGCTGCCATAGCCTTAGGCTGCGATTCAAATTATGGAGAAAACATGGATGTCTGTAAGTACAAAATATCTTTGTGGATGGGGTGCTTAAAATACTATCGAACAGCCAAACGACTCAAGTGGCTGATAAAAGAGATGGGTGAGACATCCTGGGATCCGTTACCCAGGGATCTCCTACAGAACCAGTGTGGAGCCAAGTTAATTCGTACTTCGCTCATAAAGCTTTTAAGATTTAATACAGCTACAAACGTAATGCTTGCCTCCTTTTTCCAATATAAAATTCATGGATTTCATCTAATGTTACTGTCAAACAAGTGAAATAAGTGATGACAGCATTCTGTCGTTGAATACCTTGTGCATTAATGAAATTTTTTAAAACACTGTTTTTGCATAATGATTTCAATCTTTCTGATCTTTGTTCTTATGAGACAAATTACTTTATTTTATTTCGATTTTTGATCAATAAATGGTGTCCCGATTTTCGATTTGTATAGAACTGTCGTGTGTAACTATCAGGGTACTGCAAGGGTACTGTGTCTGTCCGGTCTGGGGCGATGCTATATATTAAATAATCTTAAAGGTTACTCTTGGGGGACTGGGACTCCCGGAATCGCCTCCGGAGTATGAGTACATAATAACCATGAATGCGCTACTTTTGCATAGAGCTGGGTGTCTCTCACTCTGGCGCACTGCGAATATAGCGTAATAAAAGATAACAGTTCATACCATACAACAGCGAAAGTATCCATTCATGATATGTACGAAACTCGCGTTGCAAGATGGAGCCTAAAATTAGGTTAACACTAGGATAGCTAACAAGCACAGGTGACACGACTAATCAATGTAATTCGCAGGGAGACACTGTTAAGGAGACAGCTTCATGTGCACTTTCCAGGCGCTTCAGGAAAACAAAATAAATACTATGAAATTAATTTAACGGATAAGAAGTAAAAAGCAAAATCAAAATCTGAAATTTAGGAATTACATTTGAACATATATTTTATCTAAATTGAATTTCCTAGCTGTTCTAATAGACGACGTTTGGTTATTCCTTGGAATTACACATTTGACAGTCTTCTCGTTCATTCTCGACTCTTCAATAATTCCTGAAATCCTCTCGAGGCTGCTCTAAAATTAGCTCCACATAAACACAGATGGCTAGTCGATTTGGAGTCGACTCAATGTGAATGTTCATAGCAATAACATCGTGATTTTTTTAGCGATTCTTCCTAGAGTTTTCTGTGCTTTTGATTTCTTTGTGATGCTTAGTTGTGAAGCTAGTAAAAGTACAAATAATTAACTGCACAAAATCTCAACTTCTAAATAGCAGACTCTATATTAATGTGTGACTAAGGTAGGAAGCCACCATTAATCCCCTCTGTTCCATATTAAGTAACATATTTGTCTCGAGGAAAGGCATTGACAACTTTGACGAAATTGCAGGAACTAGGTACAAGATTTAATGAACTATAAGACCATATCGGCGACGGTTTAAAGTAATAGTAATGATGTATTATCCAAAAGTTTTAACAACTGAATATGAATGAATCTGTCAAAGCTAGAGAGAAAAGTTTGTTTAATTTCTCTGCAAACACATTCCTCGTAATGCAGCATATGTGCATTATCGAGGCAGGTATGTCAAACTCAGTACCTTAAGTGGGCCGAATAGTTATCAATTAACAATAATACGGGCCGCAAACGGGGAAGAAAGCCATTTTCATACTACTTAATTACACCCTTAAAAATGAGTTAATGTATGAAATTTTATGTAATACTGTAGTTCTTTAAAAACTAAAAGAAGCATAAGGAAATCAGAGTAACAGAGACATACCTATTGTTTCTTTTCCGCTACATGACATTATTCCTTTTCATAAGTTGTTCATATGCTAATATGTATTACTGAGCATGGAACTTATGTAGAATACAAATTTGCAGCTTTCTGGAAACCACACATAAATCATATCCGTAAAATTCGAGGGATACTTAAATTTTCCTTAATTTACTTTGAAGTCTCTGTACTTTTGCTTTAGAGTGGAGATTTCTGTTAATTCCATCTGTGAATTGGCTGAGAAAATTAAGTATATTGTGAAAATATGTTTATAAACAGATCATCTCAATAATCTTTTTCAATACTCGAGGTTGTATGCACTCCTCGAATTAGGTGGAATTCCAATATTTATTAATATATCACAATTATGACTTTTAATTACTTTCTTGGAGGTAACCAAGGGTCTCAAAATGGATTCAAGGACTTCATCCGGCCTACGGGTTACGAGTCTGCTCTAAGAGGAAAATAAAACGTGAAATTCCAAATAGGCTTCATAACTCGTTACACGTGAAATCTGCAAATTCTTAATGCGTGTGATTTCAGGGTGGCCTGTATACTGAAGAAAAGGAGTTAAGTTCAAAATGAGAGGGTCATTTTGGAATAAAAATCAGAAAAATACCGCTTATTTACGACATTTGGGGGAAGTTAAGGATTTTACGGCCAAAGTTATAGCTTGAAAAAAGGAAAATAATTTTATTTCTTTAAAATAAAATACAAAATACTCCTTTTATACAAACTAATACACGAAATAATTTTTATTTACCTAAACAATATACTCCATTTTATTTAATCTAAGTTACTGAAATTGTTGACTTCTTCAAAATTGGTGTGTTTTAGTTTTATATATCATTTGCATCAACGAGAATCCTAAAAACCCATCAGTAAATCGCTAAGATATTTAATTTCACTTAACCAGAGAAGAAGAACAAGAAATCCTAGAATTTTAGATTTTAAGTTATCTGGAGTCGGTATAATTGAAGTTGCACAACATTTATTTGTCTTACTAGGAAAGCATATTTTCTGTATAACGAAGCTGGCTTTATAACATCGATTGAATCGTAACACGTTATCACAAGATAGTTTTTATATCATTAATTAACTCAATTGCTGACAGCAACATTTACGTATCACCAATTAAATTAGTATATCACAATTAATATATCACCAATTAATATTAGCAAATACAATTCCATTGCTTTGTAAATCTGTAGTCGTAAACTAAACATACCAGCATCTCTTTCTGTTTTCTTCTTCAGACCAGTTTCCACTTGGGGACCACCGCTTAGGAATGTTATATTTAAGGGTGCAGTTGTTGAGACGCTCTTCTTCGTTACTTCTACAAACTGTGTACGATACGAAACCTGAAAATTTGCAAATCCATACTGTAAACTTTACATTCATCACTAAAATATTTTTGAAATATTAAAAACTATGAAAAATTTAAAAATCCGGTAAATCATAAAATATTCATTTCAATTCTTTAATAAAAAGCCTATGCCTACCGCTGTTATCTAGTAAAAAGAAAATTTTTGCTATTAAAAGAAATGAAAACTCAATTAAAAAGAATTTCAGTTGTAAAAAGCTTGTTTTTCTCAACAACAATATTATATAAGTAGAAAAATATCAGTATATTAATAAAATTCACTACCATTGGAATAGAATTAAAAAGGCATACCCAGACACACACGCACACACATACACGCATTGATAAAAAAACAAGGAAAACGGATTTCAAAAGGACTTTCAAGCTGAATTTTTTAACGCTAATGCTTCTGAGATTGTTAAATAAATTCAAATAAAATAAATTAATACTCTTCAGGAACTTCTGTTTATTAAACAAAGACCAAATAAAATGTGAAAACTATTTGAAATTAAAGGGGACTTGTTAAATTGTCAAACCTTAAAGTATGTATATTGCAGTGAAAGGTATTATAGAAGCTCTTTTCGTGTTACCCGATGTGATTGCAGGAATGACTTCGAATTTAGCACACCCTGCCGAAAGCTGAATTTGAATTTATTCATTCGACTACATCATACTACATCATTATCTTTTGTCTTTACTTCATTCCCTAATTTGGTTTTAGATTTCATACATTTCACACCAGTATTCACACTTAAACTTTTGACAATTCATGTTTAAATTTCAAATAGTTTTCGTATTTTATTTGCTCATGGTCTATTGTGAGGTTTATCTATTTATTTTTAATTAATTGTTCATTTAAAGTGAAAAGCCTCTCCTATCACTCCCGTTTCACCCACGCTTTTCATGCCAGAATGTAAATGAGATAACGAGAGTTTATTGAGATTAAGGTAGAATGAAGTGCTATTTAAACAAGAGTTTCGGAATTTATTTTTGAAGCGTGTCTGCCTAGTCTAGGCCCACGGTGTGCTGTGATTATTCGCGACTTACGTTAGCGCGTTCTTGCCTTTAAGGCTTGTCTTGACGACTACTTTAGACCAAAGCTCTTCCTGCGCCTTAAAGTACTCTGTGAGCCGTTAGGCTAACCTACACACATAATTTTATGATTAAATAAAGGGTCTTATACACCCTTCTTTTGATCTCCGTTTAGTTTCACAAGGTTAGAAGATAATTCTTCAAAAGACCTTTTTTAAACGTTTATGTTCCCTAAGCTTCATAGACTATAAAATCAAATTAGTATTCCTGGATAGTATTATTTTCAATTTGTGCTCGAATTCCGAAACACCTCTCAAACTTTAAAATGACGTATATCACTTACCTCTTGTTGTACGGGAGTCAAACTAGTAGTGTTTTTTATAACAATTAAAACATTTTTATTAGATATGCAAGTAATGAGTAACTGATCGCAATATATCTGAAACTCAACTGAGTATTGTGAAACTTAAGAGGTGAATATAAGTTAGAAATTTATCACCTTTTTAATTAATATCTTATTATCCTTTTAATTATTAGAGTCGTACGAAAATAGCGAGGGTCGAAATGGCTTCCCACGAATTTTTGGAATCCGAGGTTACCACACTCGAAGTTCAAATCCCCTCCGTTCCGGAGGAGATAATGGTAAACACAAACAAACAGACACACACGCACATATTTTAAGCGGTGAATATAAGTTAGAAATTTATCACCTTTTTAATTAATATCTCATTATCCTTTTAATTATTAGAGTCGTACGAAGATAGCGAGGGTCGAAATGGCTTCCCACGAATTTTTGGAATCCGAGGTTACCACTCTCGAAGTTCAAATCCCCTCCGTTCCGGAGGAGATAATGGTAAAAACAAACAAACAGACACACACGCACATATTTTAATAGTATAGATAATAAATATAAATTTTCAGTAAATACAAAATAGGTATTGAATGAATGTATAAAATGCTAGATTTTCCAGTTTTAACAAAATTGGTTTTTTAAGTTTAAAAAGGCCGAAACGTGAGTATCTGTATCATTTGAAATATTTTTTGTAGTTAGAAGTATATGTTTACGGCAAATCGACAGGGAAAATGAAAATCGCATAAGAACTTTTATGGACACGGTGTATAACAATTGAAAAGAAATATCTACAAGTATAAATTTTAAAGCAAGCAATACGCTATAGGTGAAGATAAGAGAGTGAACATACTATTAATGGTCGGAGATGACAGGAATTTTAAGCTTTTTGTGAAATGCTAGTAGTATATTTAAAACATTTTTTCTTGATAATTACTGCTTTACATGCAACTGGCTGCTGCAGTTCTGTTTCAATACGAGTATTGCAGAACGTTTTACAAATAATGCTGAAATTATTACTTGCCTTGTAAATTTTGGTGATTGTAAATTTGGACTTAAGTTCAGAAATTTTTTCTTTTATTTTTCGTCAATTACGCTTTTCATTAAAATCTGTAACTCAATTAACATCAAATTTAATCTTTGTTAAAATTAAACTTTTCCATTCTAAAACAGTTGCAAATGGCTGACTAAGCTTCTAGATTGACTTCAAAATGAAATCATCAATGGTTTTCTCAATGCTTTAGCAGAAAGTCTTTTGAAAATTGGTAACTGGTCTAAATTTGGTTCGTCACTTCATTTCTTGCCGTATGGATATTTAGATATCCAGTAAGAATGTGTTGATGGTGATAATGTAAATATGAGAGATATTGCATATCTCCCATATTTATATTTTATTAGGACTCAAAAGCAGCATTTAAGTGAAGGGCGAAAATGAGGGATAACTGGTTGACTCGAGGAGGAGACAAACACAGGTGGTCACCCATGATTATAAGTATCATTCAAAGTATTTTATCAAGAACTTGAAGTCAGTTAATAGACTGAGTTAATGAGGGGCCTCTGGTTGCAGAGTAACAACTTCATCCAAGGACCGTTTTCTGTCACTGTCGGTTCGAAGAAACAGTGAAATGTCTACAAGAGAGTAAGGTTAGACCACCAGGCTGCCACAGAAACTCCAGTCAGCCGTTTTGCAATTGTACGGTGTTTTATTCGTGTAGATAGACTTCATACAACTTCACATGTCTCACTCACTTCATCCTCCATTAGGTTCCGTTTAATGTGATGTTGTCGTCTGTTGAATGGAGCCAAGAAAGAATGGGACCGTGTACTGTTTACTGACGAGTCGAGATATAGACTAAACTGGGACTGGTAGATGTGTTTTGATCTGGAGAGGCCGAATTTTGCTTTCCTTTGTTTATGAAAGATCCGACTTCCACAAAGCTGGTTCCTACTGTAATCAACAAGAATGGCTGCAGCACTCCGCATATCTTTGATGCAGCTTCTGTAAACGATCACAGATATGCAGACGAAGTCTTGAAACCCCATGTAAGGCCACTTCGGCGGCCGGTTTACTCAACGCTTTTGCTTATAAATGACAATACTAGCCCAACATCGTGTCGAACATCTCTAGGGCCGGAAACACACATTCGAGAAATCGAACATTCAAATTATATTGCTTGATATCACTTGAATCGATTGGCTAGATTACTCAACAGATTTATGTGTGAGATGTCATTAGACGCCGAATTGCAACGCGCCAAATGCCTCCCTGGACCTTTCCGTGGTCTGAAAAGTGTATTATTTTATTAGAGATGTGCAGTTCCACAAATCTTTGCAATAGTGGGAATTTGCATGAAATTAAGAAGTAAAATTTATATTTCTACCAGCGATTACCATACATCACATTAAAGAAAGATTTATAGCAAAAAAGAATTGGTCATTTTTAAATTTCCATGAATTTGACTTATTATTAGTTGAATTAATATTACAAAATTAATCAACTTAAAATCATAACAATTTATGTTTAACAATATTTTGTACAAATTGTTAATAAAAATATGTAATATTATTTCTGTTAATACCTGATTAATTTTAACGAGGTTAATATTTGTCCTTCCTGTAAAAAGATTTCGTGATGCTTGGGCAACAATGAATGTCATAAATCGCCAGATATGACTTTTGTAATATATAGAATTACTGGCAAGAATTGGTAAAATATGTTGCTCCTTGTTCAACAAAAAAGATAAGTCCCATTTAAGTTTAAAATAACAAAATCTGTATCGAAAACAATCAATAGTGACAGTTTATAAAAAATTCCATCCATTCAAAGGATTTTATTTTCGTTTCGGTAGACTTAAATATTCTAAATTTTGATTTTTCTCCAAAATAGTTATAAGGTACTTTTTCCGCCTTCTTGATGTAGTGGATAGCACGCTCGGCGTGTATCGTTCGAGTTCCGGCGAGGGCATAACTCATTTTTCATTTCTTCTTCTTCGAAATAACCTGGTGTCTCTACATAGTTATTTGAGACTTCACCAAGCATATCTAAGAATTATTATTTACTTCCGGCTGAGACGCAACTACCTCATAATTAGCAGTAAGACATAGGCTCTTGTATCAATAACGTAATAATTATTATAAGATTTAAATATAATTTCTCATTAAGTTAATAACCTATGATACTTACCCTTGCGATTAGCTGAATTTTTATCACATATTTCTTCCAATAATAGTATTTTCGCTCTCTGATCTTCACGTATAGCATACTGCTTGCTTTTGGAGCAAGGATAGATGTTTTTTTCAAAGCATTCCATCATTCTTGGCTCCTCTCTAGAGAGCAAATAAGCAAATTAAAAACTTAATATTAAAAGAAAAAATTTAAGTCTTGCAAGTATTAAAATTTATACTTGCATATATTTGTTTTCAATTGTTATACACCGTGTCCATAAAAGTTCTTATGCGATTTTCATTTTCCCTGTCGGATGACCGTAAACATATACTTCTAACCGCAAAAAATATTTCAAATGATGCAGATACTCATATTTCGGCCTTTTTAAACTTAAAAAACCAATTTTGTTAAAACTGGGAAATCTAACATTTTATACATTCCTTCAATCCTATATTTTATTTACTGAAAGTTTATATTTCTTATCTATATCTATACAATTAAAATCTGTGCGCGTCTGTCTGTTTGTTTGTTTTTGGTATTACCTCTTCCAGGAACGGCGGGGAGTTAAATTTCGAGAATGGTACTTCCCTCCTCCCCGGATTCCAAAAATTCGTGGGAAGCCTTTTCGACCATTCTCATCTCCGTACGACGTTAATAATTAAAGATCTATCTCTTTAATTATTAACGTCGTACGATAATAAGGCATTAATTAAAAACTCCGAAAACGCTAATTTTCGACCTCGTTTTTTCTAATGGCAACATTCTCGCACCCTAGAGATAAAAGTCTGCTTTATTTCGAGAAGTGTTGCCACTGCTAACTTTCAAATCGTAAAGTTTGTTAATAAAAAATTTCTAAGTTTTACAATATATGAAATAAAAATAGCTTTTCCAAACTTTAAATATATTATTCCAGATTCCAGAAATTCGTGGGAAGCCATTTCGCCTGTTCCCATCTCCGTACGATTTTAATCAATCGAGATATTAATTAAAAACTTTGGAAACACTAGTTTTCGCTCTCATTTTTCCGAATGGCAAGAGTCTCTCGCGTTGGAAATAAAAATGCTTTATCTCGAAAAGTTTTGCTACTACTCGTGTTCAAATCGTTGAATTGGTTAATAAATTTTTTTTTAATTTTACAAAATATGAAATAAAAATAGCGTTGCCAAACATTAGATATATTATTATATAAGATCATATTCTGACATTGACGAAAGCACGCGATTGCATGTGACGTCACTATATGTCGAAAATTGTTCGTTAATGTCAGCATTTTGAATAAATAGCTGCTGTTGGCAACTTTTTTGCTTCAGGTTAATATAACTGATATGACATATTATTGCCACGTTAATTCTTTTATTAATATTGAGGAAATGTTGTTATATTACACCATGGACCTTATAAGAAATAGACAACCCAGTGGGCGGGGCGCGCGTCACCGACATGTCGGTAAGAAAGAGTAGGGACGATCTGGTTTACAACATTGAAACCTATGGCGTTTGTATCACATAACTCTTTTTTAATTATTAAATGTGATACGTTGTATAGTGAAGATATTATGAAAGCCACAGTTTTTTCCAAATAGGATTTAATATATCTCATTAAAGTACTTTTTACTGCATTTCGCGCATTTTTTTCACGCGTAATTCTTGTACCAACTTCTTTACTTTGGTAAAACGGTAAAAACTTTAAGCACAAAATTTATGAACTTAATTTTGCGTAAAAATAAAGTAAAATTAAATAAGATTGATAGTACGTTATGCTTTGAAATAAATAAGGTAAAATTAAACAAAGTCTGATAATTTTTTTTTTTAATTTAATGAAAATTTTCAGGCAGTGATTTTCTAAACTATAATAACATTACAAAACTATCATATTTATTTGATTATATGATCATTAAATTGGTAACATTAAAGTGGATTAGTTATTTTAATAATTCATAAAATTCGGAGCATAAAATATTCTAAGCGTAATGAAGGGGAAAAAAGATAAAATAAAGATAATAAATTGTGCTATAATACTCATCTATAATTTTAAAAAAGCAGCACAATTTAGAATTTAAACAAAACTTTCAAAATTTCGTTTTTAAATATTTTAGTACTTTTTACTTATTTACACCAATGAAAAGCATAAAAATTGCAAAAGAAAACTGCTTGTTTGAAATTTTCTATTAGTTCAGATTTAAAATATTATTTTCTAAAAGAAGTAGTTACAAATTTCCTTACAGCATAGGAAAAGCTAAAAAAAGTTTTAAAAATCTAAAGTTTTAAAAATCAATCTCAATTTCGAAAATAAAAATGTATAGAAATTCTAATTTGTGAAATGAGGCGCTACATACAGCTTTTTCTTGATAAATATACATTCTGCAATAGTCCAACCAATGTTAAATTTCTGCAAGTCGTCCCTACTCCTCCGGATGTGATCAAGGTGACAGCCGACGACGCCTCAGACGAGGGAGAAAACCCATTTGGGTTAGTCTATTTCTTATAAGGTCCATGTATTACACATCATGACGTCATATGAATTAACCTGATATGTCAAAGCTTTTGTTTTCTGGTTCGGCAATAAAAAAATTATTTACGAGTTGGTTATTACTTACACAGAAATAACTGATTTCATTCCTATTGAAATATTTCATGCACTTTCTTTTCAGGTGCACATAGAAACCATAATTTTGCTTGGTCGTAGCTAGCAACTTTATATACAGTACATTAAAATAACTTTATACACAGTACTTATTGCATTCACATGTACTTTTATAATCTCCATGTATATATCGCAATATTTTTTTAACTATAATAGAGGTTTCTGCTTCAGTATACTAATTTGACAAGTTTATTATTATTATTATTATTATTATTTCTCTTTTTCAGTGATTCTTGAGTAAATACATGTATTCGTTTAGAAATCCATTGTGTCTGTAATAGAATCCGAACATCTTTATATTTGTATTAGGAGTTTCTCCATCAACATACTTATTTAAACCAGCAAATGTATTTCAGTACTGATTGTATATATGTCATATTTTAATGCGTGGATGTGTACCTGTGTTTCAACACTCCAATAGAAAGATTTATTCGGCCATTTCTAATTATGAAGAAATCTATGCGGCTTTGTCATTCTATGTTCACAGTGAATCATGGGAAAATCCCGTTTCACCGAAAATTTTAAGGCAAGTTTGTGCCGCATTCATAATCAAATCATTCATATCGTGTCATCGAGCCGTAGTCTTATTACACATATACATGTATTTATTTATAATATCTGTAAAAAATATTATCTGTATATCTGTATGAGCAATGGCCGCATCAACATTTTAACTATATTTATTCTAACTAGTTAATGTATTTCAATAGTGTTTGTTTACGTAAATGTTATTATCTAATTCTGTAACAGGACTCGGTATCGGTATATTTCCATTAGCGTATAACGTTGCGCGCCTCTAACTGGCACGCAACCAAGAGGTGACTGTGAAAGCTTGTATAAACCACAGAGTCTTATAAAGGGTTTAAGTCCCTTTTTATTCGACGTACTAATTTACAATTGCGTTTCTTTGACGCTACAAACGGTGCCAACTCGGCAGTCAAAACAAAAATAAAAACCTGAAAAGAAATTAAAGACAATATTCTAACTACGAGGCTCTCTCAAATAACTAACTCACCGCGTTTTACAATACGGCTGCTAATTCAGCAGACTTGAAGCTCACTGGAACAATTGCAACTACTTCCCGCCAAGCACATCAAATCTCTATAACTACCTCCGCGCTCGCTAAGTAAGAATAACTCTCTCTCACCGAACTTGTTTCCTTCTATTTAAATCATACTACTTCCGCTGATAATTTGAATGCTTGCGCGTTCTACTCAAATTTACATATTCTGGCATTGGCAGGTTCCAGGGGAAAGTAAGGATTGACAGGAAAGATAGTTTAAACTTAAAATAAATGTTAGTTAAAATAAATATAAAACCCTACATTTGCCGCTGCCAGAATTTGGAAAACTTGGAAGCAGGTCCTACAAACGACCTGTTGTAAGTTTATCTAATTCTGAACTAACTGGCGAAAGCCTCGTTTACACAAAAATAATCTTATGTAACAATTAAAATTCTGTTACTCTTTACAATGGTTTCTTCTTACAGCAACTTTTCCTGGACTTCATCAATCAATCTTGGTCTTTCCTTCCAGCACCACGGAACTATCTTGAAAATTTAATTTGGCCCTCGCGGCCCTTAAAAAGTCCATACCTAAAATAAGAGAGTGTTGGAGGTGTTTCACCACAAAAATTAATACTTTGAGATTTTCCTCTTTTACCTGTACGTTTAATGCTACTTTCCCGATGCAGTGACATGTTTTTCCTTGCGCCGCTATAATTTCCGTATTTCTGGTTTTAAAGAGTCGTAATCCTATAAAAATTCTTTTTGAAGAACTTTTCACTCATGAAATTGCCTTCTGCCCCTGTATCGATGAGGGCTTCTACTGGTACATCGCCAACCAGGACTTGTATAATTGGTAGCTGTGAGTTTTTTACGATGACTGTATTTAGATGTCTATTTGAGGGTTTTTCTAAAACTTCCGGGGTCTGGACCCTCCCTTTCACAGGCCCCTCTAGTCGTTTAAAGCTTTCCTTTCAATCTGTGTCTTCTGGGTACGCGGATGCTTATTTCAAATTTTTTTTTGGGCCTTGCCCTTCAAGTTTCGATGCGTTAGCTTGATAGTTCTTTCCCCCATATGAGCGATTTCCATTTCTTGTTTCCTCCTTCCTTCTGGTACTTTGAGAATATGTTTCTCCTCTCGCTCTTTCCGCGATTCTGCGATTTTGAAACTTCACCGCCAATTCGAAAAGTTCCTGCAATGTGGTTGGGTTTCTAATTTCAAAGTAGTCTTGGACAGCGGGTAACAATCTTGGTAATATTATTTCAATAATCTCCGCATCGGGTTTTTTCCCATACAACATATCCGTTAGCTTGATTTTTCGTAAAATAAAGTCCGTCAATTGTGCTGTATCCCGTTGATAGAAAACTATATAGCTCGGCTTCCAGCCCGTGCGCGATCTTTCACTATGGGGAAGGCCTTTACTAACGATTTTTTGAAATTTTCAAAAGTATACGTCGGGCTTCCAAATTCACCTAGAAGAAATTTGCCTATATTTTTCCACCATAGCGCGGCCTG